TTTCTTAAAACGTATTCGCCATAAGACGTCAGATCTAGGTTCTCACCCTAGTTTTTTTAATGTCACGGTCAGGCAAATAATCACCGACTTTGAGCTCTAAAAAATGCACGAAGATCAAATTTTCGAATTATAAAATCTATTGACAATATGTTTAAAATTTTCTAAACTATCTACAATCACAAATTGATTAGGCGGGCTACTAAAAAATACCTATTTTTGGGCGTTAATAAATCTCAGTTTTGCATACAAATTTGCTAGTAGTTTCATATTTTTAGATGGAGATTTGTGACTCATGCAGGAATAGATGGCTATTCACGTTTGCTGGTATTTACTTGCTGTAGCATAAACAATCGAGCTGATACTGTTCTAAGTCTATTTCTATCTGGTGTATCTTAATATGGACTGCCATCCAGAGTAAGAACAGATAAAGGAGGTGAAAATGTTGGTATTGCTCAATTTATGTTAAACCACCATTTGCGAGGACCCGGTCGTGGCAGTCATATTACCGGAAGAAGTGTGCACAACCAACGGATTGAGCTCTTGTGGCGAGATCTTTTTGTTGGTTGTACAAGTCTTTTTTATCATTTATTCTATCATATAGAAAGTAATGGAATATTGGATCCATCAAATGAAGAACATGTGTTTTCATTGCATTATGTGCTTTTTCCAGGAAGGTTACAATAGATTTCCCATAAGAACAGAAAGAAATCTATCATGATTTGACTAACTCATAACTTTACTTTTAGACTATGCTTTAGATTATAATCATCAGACTGGATCCAAAGCTAATTGATGTATGTTGAAGTCAAAATCTAATTTAATGTTCTAATTCACTAAGGTAAACCAAGAATTTCCACCTACCTTTTCACAAAATTACGCATGTCATGAAACTGATCAGCAACAAGTGATTGTTCCAGAAACCAACATTCCATAGAATGAAATAGATCTTGATGACCTGCAAAGAACCATTAATCCTTTAAGGCCTTCTAATCATAATGGTGCTGACATATACATTGAGTTGCTACAGTTTGTAAATACCAGACTGCACCAGGAAGACGAGTGACATTGTGAACTCACAAAACAAGAAAAGCTACTTGACCTATTGTTCGTTGGTGTCAATTCAGATAATACAAAACAAGATATGTATGGCAAGGAATGCTATAAATTTTCATTATGTTGATTATTCAAACATTTTAGCAGAAAATGTTTTTAGCACATAAATGCTAATGCACTGACAGAACAAAATTTAATGAAACATTAACATATTCACTTTAAGTCTTTAACTATAAAATGATATCCAAAACAAAGAATAAAAATATTTCAATTTAGTGCATCATCCATATTAGCTGTAACAAGCTATGTTATTGCTGAAAGAGATGCATAAACTGTTCCAAGATCAAATATTGGTAAATCCTCTTGAACGAAATTGCAAATCTCTATCTAGTTTAGCTTTCAGTTCATCGAAGTTTTCATAACATGGAAGAACTAACAAATGAAAACAAGTTCTACTTTCTGGCAGCAGATTACGATCTTTTGTTCTGTCAACTTTGAGATGCAGGATTGCACCATTTGCAGGCAGTAAATCACACCCAGTCCAAAAGACAACAGATCTTTAAGATTTGCCCTAGGAATGGACAAGTATTAAAGTATTAATATAACTAGTACCTCAAACAGTCAAACATTTAAGTTTTTGAAGAAAGCAAAGGTCCAATTTAAAAGCAAGAAAATGTTACTGACATTGATATTGTTCAAACAGATAAAGTTACTGCTGCTCCAACATAATATATAATCAGTTGTGGTGCAAATATTAAAAAGCAAACCATATTCACACAAAAAACACATACATAGACTGACTACAACCAATTACAACCTTCCCCGAATCTTTTTACCAAAACACTTACCACTAGTTGTCCCATCAATTAGATCAATGTATTGTTTCAAAAACAACATCAGTTGATTACTATGAACGCCTTCTTCTTCAATTTCAATAATTCTTTTTAAGTCGTCTTTATTTATAAGAGAAGCAGTTGATTGTGGAAAAAGTTGTGGTTGAACAACATCTTTGTGTTTCTTCAGGAAATCAACCAGTCCAAACTCATTCATTCCATCAGCTAGATCTTGCAACTCTGATTTTCTACGGGTAATGACAGCATGTAACATGATTTGCTGGGCAATAACATGATGATTTGCACCAGAGAATGATGTATCTAAAATTGAAGCTTCATCTCTGTACTGAGTTAAAAAATCTTTCAATGCAGTTCCAGGAGCTTCATCTTTGCCAAGGCTGTTCAACTATGTCATAAAACACATGATTAGCTCTAACAAAATACTGAAAAGCAATGCTCACATGCAATAAAACTTTTCAAACCTCATTCAATGCAATCCTCAGGTCAATGTCAGGTATATCCACAACTTCTATTAAAGGAATCTCATCTTTGTCACATACCAAATAATCAACAACTACTTTAGAAATTCCAAATAGTGGTGATCCAGCATGTAGGAAAGAATGTGCAATTATTCTTCCAATGCACTTATAGAAGCCTGTACTTCTCAATAGTGAGTTGGCTACAGGAACTTTATGGTCATTTTCTTCTTCAAAAACAAGAGTTTTGGGCCTTTCTTCACCATCCAATGGAAAATCATCAAGAATCATTTTCATTACTAGGCTGAAAAATTCTCGCATAGGACCACTACCAACTGAAGTTTTGTTTTCAAACTTTACGCTGAACCAAGCACACAACTTACTACTGTGATTTTTGTAAATTCCCAAAATGTCATTGGCAAAGTCAGTTGCCATGCGGTTGACATAAACTCGAAAAACTGGACTGTCACTGACAATTGTAGCATCTCGATACTCTTCAATGACTGTCTTCTTTTGTTCTTAAATAGAAAACCAGTCAAATGTTTATTGTAGCAATACAACCCAGCAAGTATTTTGCTAGACTAAGCTTACCAATATCACAACTTCTACACCTAAATACAACATGCAAAAATCACAATAAGCATGTTCAACTTCATTCATATTGAGACCAAATTGTGCTGCAGGAGCATATTGCCAGTTAAAACAACAAGCTAAAAGTCATGCATGAAGCAAAGCATCATTTTTAACCAATCAAGAAAACTATATCAAATCATTTACAACTCGTTTCTTTTGAAAATAACTAAGATAAATGCTGCAATTATGATGCATTTATGAGTGTTTAGCAGCATGTATGTACCTATTAATTTCTTCGTACCTTCTTGCAGACGAACTTCTGTTGCCTGTTGAAGATTTTCTGAATCTGAGTCTGCACTATCAACAGCATCATAATTAGGCATCTCCTCTTTAAGTAATATTCCTTTGCCTTTATAATTGAAGTTACATGTATAAACACATTAATTCATTCATTATCTGGAGGTAGTTATTAAAAAAATATTTGTCTTTTCATATCCGCCATTCAGCCTTAATGGAGTCTATGCTACGACCAAAATATATTGATAATCCCATACATGGAACTTGATATAATGATGTAAGAACTTACTGTGATCCAACAATGATGAAACTGCCACTTCAATGTCTCCCTCACACACTTCTACAGCTTCTTCTACGGCAGTATCATGAAGGTCAGGAAACATTTCATGCAGTTCAGACATTAATGGAGTTCCAGAAAAACTTGCCTGATAAAAAATTATTCATTCAATTATCAAAATAAGTAGGTGAACAAAAAACAGTGCGGCATTTTCACAGTAAATTTGTAATAGGAATTAATGCAAGCTTATAGCATACATTGATCTTGACCTTCTTAAATTGTTTATGGTGATTGTCCATTCCACATTCAACCATATGATTCCTGATTGAATTCATTGGAATCTTCACTGAGCAATTTAAGCATTTCACTGTTGGTGCAATAGATATATCCTAGCAAAAACAATGTATAACATTTCCTGTCTAATAATTTATCACTTAAATTACTCAAAGCTATGAATAAAGTACCTTGTTTTCTGGAGCATCTCCTGCATGAGCGTTTCCAAGGATGAGGAATCTAGATCAGCTTGAACTGGTCTAATATATGCAATTGCCTGCCCTAGGCCAGAACTATCACGAAGAAAGTGGACAGAATATCCAGTATTTGGTGGAGGGGTAATAAGATACAAATCTTTGGGTGATAAACCACTCCTTAATTTCTCAAAACCACCGCCTGATACCAGCCGGGGATAGATCTCTTCTAATTTTGCCTTCACTTTGGCTGGACTTGAATCTTTATGGAAAGAAATACGTTTACGTCCAAGACCAGCTTTTTGTAATTTAATTTTTTCCATTCTAGTAGGCACACAATCTTGCTCATGGTTTGCCAGGCAAAAAAAATCGTGAGTGCAAGTTTCTTGTGGTTTATAACACCGACCTTGTTATCCCCACGAATTAGATCGACCACGTTGCTTGTGGATGAGAAAACATCTTTCCATTGTTAGCTTGATTATACGGTGCAAACAACCGCCTAAACTCCTGCTCTCTTATCGAACAAAATGATCTTGATGTTGAAGCTTGAGATGACGAAGCCTGATGTTATTCTTGCAATGTGCTGTCTAGTGTTGACGATTGGACACGTTGAGCAGCTCCATGATCGGCAAGATTACAATGAAGATCTAAGACTTGCTGATTCAGAAGAGTCTGGATTCAGTAAATTTGCTGCTCGGCGAAGTAAAGCTGTTGCCTTTCGATTTTCGCTCCATTATCATCCCCATACCAAAAATCGTTTCTTTTGTACAGAATACTAAAGTTGCTTCGAAGGACAAAGATCGTGATAGTTATTGCATAAAATTTTGCAACAGTATAATTTGATATTAACAATTTTTGGCGGTAAATAATTATAAATAAGTTGTAATGTGATCGAGTAAAATTTGATGTTTTGCGAGCACGAATAATGTTACGTCATCATAATGGAATGTTCAACAACAAAATGCGTTTTAACGGAAATTGTACAGGACAAAATCCGATTATGAAATTCCAGAATGGAATATGATCAAGACAAAATGCACATTGCATAGGACAAAATGCGCATTAGTAATTGAAAATATGGCTTTTAATTTTGGCGAAGATCACCTTCCATAGACGAAAAGTAGAAACCGTTTCTACTTTTCGTCGAGCGCTTGACGATTTAGTTGACGATTTTTATTTCCTACTGCGCATGTGGCGCACCGAATTTTTAAGACGATCGTCATAAAAATCGTCTTGTGGAGATCCACCTTAACACAGTCAAAAAAATCTTACACAACAATGGCAGCAAAACAGCTATCAACAAACCAACTACTTGAGCTTGGGGATGAAAACGCAAGTACGGACGCGACTGGTAAATGTGAGGAAAATAAAGAAGTCGGGAAGTTAGCTCGTTCTTTGGGCGACCAGTTGTTCTCGACTCCCGAAGTCAAACGACACCAAAATGAAAGAGAAAGGTCGAATCGAACAAGCTGGTTGTCACAATTTAGAGAAGCTATTGACGTGACTCTGGTATGGCTTGAACACAAAGGTCAAAATATGAAAGTGGATGCAAAAAAACGAGAGCAAATATTGAGAAGACTGTTTAATTTAACAAGTGGGTAGAATTTACACTTGTTCTTTTACATTGTAAGGAATGTAAACTAAACAATATTTTCATTACGTCCTTATATTATCGTACTACGTGTATATTTCAATTGTGTAGGCAATTAAGGCTTAGTTCAAACGGCGAACTTCTGATGTGCCGTGCGAAATTACTATTAAGTTCGGCAGAGCACGGCAAAATAGGAATTTGATTCAAACGTCGATTTTAATTCATATGATTCATATGACCTTTCGTTCCTTTACGCCAGCGTTTATACAACGCGCATGCTGAAATAAATAGCGGGATTTTCATTATGACGAAAACAAAAATAGCAGAAAGACAGATCATTTTTATGCGACATGTGCTAGAGGGTGCCAAAAATCGAAGGAGAATGCTTGATTCTTTTATTCAGTTATTGATTAATAGAAGAATCATAGCAATCAGAGCTGCGATCACCCTGATTCTGTGTTTATGCTCGCAAAACCCGCGTTCAACATCAATAACGCCCCGATCATGTCGGAGACTTGCTAGAATAAAGGATGGTGGAATCTTGTTTAGGTTAGCTATTCTGCAGTGAGATACAAGAAAACATTTAGAATATCTCGGGAAACGTTTCTGTTTATTCTTGCTCGCCTAAGACACGTACTCGGAAAGAAAAACATAGTTGAAGAGCCCATTCCTCCAGAGGTTCGACTAGCTGTTTGCTTGTATCGCCCTGGAAGAGGAACATATTATTATACAATTGCAGAATTGACAGGGCTTGGCAACTTTTTGAGCATCACATTCTGATTGGCTGAATGCAACGAGTGTGTGTCCAAAGATCTTTAATGTTTGGTGCAGTTTAACTAAGTAGATATAAGAATTTTAAACCCATGTTGTTGAACCATTTTGCATCTATTTCTCATGAGTACCTTTGCTCCATTAATTATTCAGAAATCGGGATTAACGCTCGAATCTTCGTGATAATGGAAATAGTTAGCGCATTTCTGACAAGCGATCAAGATCCGTTTCCAGGAAAGCGTCAATACATAGTGCAGTGTTTGGAAGATGTCAAAGACAACCAGAAATCCATTGAGAGTTTAGTCGCAGATGCGAGCAGGTTGCTTAAAGAAATGTTGGGTGGTGAAAGCGTCGATTTCCTAAAGGGCATGCAGTTTGACAACATCGTTAGGGAAGCAAAAACGAAGATTGATTTGTGTAGCCGGCGATTGAACGGAGCAGAAAAAGCTATTAATGAGCTTGCTGGTAAAATGAAAACCATTAAATGGAGTTTGCGTGGTATGCGTGGTGCAGGTTAGATTTAGCCTTGTAATTGTATTCATATTCATTGCATTAAAGCCTATTTAGAGTTCGCTCCTATATTAGTTATTTTGTCATTGTGCGAGCACACTTTAAGGCAGATAAAGTTCTATTCCAAAAAAGGAAGCTCAATTATTCAAATTTCAAATACAGGTTTGGCGTTCACTACTTATTTTCTGTTCAAGCGATATCAGGAATCCAGTCATTCGTTATTGGACCTGTTGCAGTTTGGTGGGTTAACCCTGGTCGCATTTATCCGGTGTTTTAGGCAATTTCTGGACACAGAGAGCGTTTTCTACGAGTTTATTGCAAAACTCGAATCGCAACACTGCTTGTTGAAGGAGAAACTGGAAAATTTGCGCATAAGCTTGACGAGCGCTAAAGATTTTAGAGATGGACCATTGAAAAGTGTAGTATTTAGCAGTAAAATATAACAACCTATTTAATTTAAAAACTTTAAGCAAACTATTCAACTATGTATAGAGTTTGCCAACTACTCATTAAATATAAAACCAATTAAGGTCAGAATGGCTATAACTAAGAAGACTGATGGACAAATGAATGACAAGCTGATGAACAGCGTAGGCAATAATAGAAAAAGTTGCATACAATTTGTTTCATTTATTATACAGAGATCGGGAACAATGGAGAAAGTCAAATCATTTCTGACTGGCGACAAAAATCTGAGCTTTTTCTAAACATTTTTCAATGAAAGCACTTATAAGTTATTACATAATTGCTCAAACTTTCTAAAATGTTCCTTAATACACGTTAATATTTATATAATGTAACAAATATGTTTGATAACATCAAAATACATGAGTCTTAAACAAAATTTGACCAGCAGATCTTTTGATCTATTGCCAGAACCGTAGCTATATCTGAGCTCCAGGATGAATCATATTTGAAATAAGAAAATCTATTCTTGAAATAGGCATTTGTCATGTTGTATCTGATCATTGATCAACAACAGCAAGTCGCAATGTTGATAACATTTTGTATAAATAACATTGTGAAACAACCACGAGGATTTTGAATCTCATTGGCTCCATATTATAATAATTTGACCAATTGTGCTCATTAGTTTGTAAGAACTTTATATCGCAAGTGTAAACTTAGTTCTATCATGTCAATTACAATTGCATCAAGGTCAAGCCAGGTTAACTCAAGTAAATATTGATGGGTGATTACCTATTACTTGTCACGAAGCCACCTGACACAAGGAAAAACATGAATTAAGTAATTGAATTCTGCAAAGTTCTCCCTCGGCACCACTACGACTTCAATCAATTGGAAAATGACGGTTTATTCGATTTTCCAGCTTTCTGCCTGAACTGTGAAAACCGGCTTTAAAATACAACCGAAGAAACTGAAAAAACGGTAAAGAGAAAGATGAAAGAATGTGAGAAAGCACAAATTTGGCTTTTTCCCAAAACACGGGAGTTCTCGAAATATTTCCATTTGAAGAAATAGAAAAGCCAGAGCAAAAAGCAAGGAGAAACCCATGTAACAAAGGGAAACTTTGATTGAGTATCTTTCATTTCATTTCTATGGCAGTCAGACAAATATTAAACCAAGACGAGCGACAACTGCTTGAAGTTGGCGATGAAAACGCATATTTGGAAGCGACTATCAACCCGGAGCATGCCTGTCTGAGTGTTGGTTATTAAAGTTGAATGAAGTGTCGTGGGGGATAGCAATATGCTAATGCCGTCGCGTTTTTCAAAATACAGCACGTTTGTAGCCCTCTTGCAGCAAACAAGGAAAAAAGCTAAACTTGCAACCTTGTTGTGGCAACGTGAAATGGCAACGCTCGTGATGACAAGCCAAATTGTGCATGTGCATACATCTTAACCTAAGATCAGGCAAGATGGATGTCCTTATTTCAAGGCACAAAGAGTGTTTTCTACGAGTCTATTGCAAAACTCGAATCGCAACACTGTTTGTTGAAGGAGAAACTGGAAGATTTGCGCATAAGCTTGACGAGCACTAAAGATTTTAGAGATGGACCATTCAAAAACAGGGGGTCATCCGGGTTTTAATGTTCCTGTAGCCTACAATTTACAATATTGAGTAATGTTACTTAAGCCACGAAGTGTTAATACTAGAGAGAATGGTCTTGTCTCTGAGAGAAATGGAAGATCGACCTGGAAAGAAATGTATATAGTACTTTAGCTAAAATGGTGTATAATTATTTGCCATCGTACTTCTCTGTGGTTTTTCACCCTCTGTTTTCAAACATCGAACCGTGATAAACCTACACAGCTGTGTTATTTTACGCATTAAAATAAGCAAAAACATAGCTTTGTGTAAACTTTAAGTTTGCTTAAATTTGTAATGTAATTTTCACTAAGATTTTCGAACTCTAAATAATTGCATGATTTATTATCTCAAATAACGTTTCGTGAAAATATTTCAGTTAAAAGTGTGTATAAAAGTGGATTACTAGTTTGTTATATGCATGATTTGTAAAATATAAAATGCAATTTTATGATATTGTAATATTTTATTGTAATTTGTGGTATAAAAAGTCGAAGATCTATTCAACAACGTTTGATTAGCACATCTTTTCTTCCAAAGCCTTAAGTTGTCATTGAAATGAGAAAACCTATTCTTGTCATTGTCATCATGTTATTTTATAGCTGGCGAAAAACAACATTGGCAATAATACGTGCACATATAATTGTAAAACAATACAAAAACGAGGATTAGTTGAATCTCATTGGCTCCATGTTGTCACTATTGGACAAATCTTGCTCATTTATATTTGCTATTTTTTTGTTACAAGTACAAAATGTTGCTATATATGTTGCCGAGGTTTTGCTTCAAAAAGGGAAGTTCCCTCAATTTTTTATTTAGTTAGGAATTTCCCTAAATATGATGAGCTGTAACAATGCGAGAAACAGCACATGAAGTTTGGAAATGGAATTAAATTTATTCAAAACAAAAAAAAAAGTTGTTATTATACTGCTTTCAGGATATCTTCGTCATGGTTGCATTTGCTATAGAATTTTGTTTCTTTAACAGAAGCAAAACGCCATTTTTATTATGAACATAAGAGTCTTGTAAAGCAGTTGACTTAACCACGAAGTGGATTATGGAATAAATAAAGTTGATCAAAAAATGTAATGTCAAGCATAATAATGTCATGAAAATGTTTGAGAAAAGAATAATTAAGATTCATTGAATTAGTAACTCACAATTTTTTCATGCATTACTAAAAATTCAGCCGAGTCTGGGCCCTTTGATATGTGGTATTAAAATGTAATTATCTGCATGTTCTCTACCCCATATTTCTGAGAATAACATTGGCAATTTGACCAATACAGTACATTGTGAAAAAGGGATTAGAAGAAAAACGTTCTTCTTTTGATGTTTAAAAATTGAAAACGGATGATTCTGTCGCATTGCTGCAGCTGCATCGGCATTTCCTTTTAATGTAAAACGACATATGATGATGATGCTATAAATGATGAAATACAATTGGTCACCACATGAAATTCCCACAAGAATAACAAAACATTATTCGTGACCACCTAGACTATACAATCTTTCCTGCCAATAAGAAGGTCATCATATAAATAGTTATTTCACGAACGGAGCTGAGAACCGCTCGGAGAACGAAATGAAAGCATTCAAAACGCAATCTGAAAACGCTGTCATCGTATCGCTTCTTTAAAATTTCTCATTTTGGTTGACATATCACTTTCAAAGCAATTTTGAAATTGCTGTACTTGGTTCCTAGGTAGATAAATATAGTTATGGCAAAAGCTCCAGATAATAGCCAAAGTCCGATGAAAACAAGTCAACTACCTCTAGGAGAAAATGAAGCGCCCGTCGCTACCGCAAACAAAAATATAATTTTAGAAATAGCAAGAGCTGTACGGTCGAAAGGCGATCTTGAAGTCGACAAACAAAGTCAACAGGAAATCAAGGAAAGAATACAAAACGTAGAATTGACAACACGTCAGCGCTTTACAAATTGTTGGAAGAAAGTCGTCCGAGCTGTCTGCTGTGTTCTGGAAGTGTTAGAGGAACCATCGCATTTGTTAAATGGTAGCCATGCTAGCAGCAAAGATTCAACCGATAAAACCGATGGCAGTGCGTCAAGTATGCAAGATACATACTAGGTAGGCAGCTAAATAGATATGAGCGTTTAATTTTTATTTACACATCAACAAGAAGTTGTATTACGAAAGAGGAAAGATTGTTATTGTCAAGACGTGTTGGTCTTCTGCATTTACACAGTTAACATAGTTTTTATGTTATAGGCCCACGAATCACAAACCGGAAAACATGGGCTGTTTCAACATTATTAGCAGTTATATGTATTTTGTTATAGTTCTCGGCTCCCAAACATTGAACATCCATTTGCTAATGACCTTAGCGGAGAACTTAGATGTACCTGGAAATCTGAATAGTGTAAAAAGCGAGCCTGCTGAAGAATGCCTTCGCGAGGTGGAGGAAAAATTTTTTCCAACATTAGATCTTATAAACGAGGCGTCCGACCTGTTAAAGGAAATAGCAAAAGATTCCAAAAATTCTGAAGATCTCAAAGCTAAAAAAATCAACAAATTTAACTCCCATGTTGCTCGTGCTCAATTGGAGATTCTGCTTTGTCGTGATTTTCTCGATAAGGCAAAAACTGTCATTGACGAATTGATGGAAAAAGTTAACATAGTGAAATATGTGTCACGTGGCGTGCGTTTACTGGAATGTGGAGTCACGTGGTACTCTTTACATCGTACTTTATCATCCACATCTAAGCCTGAAGATCTTGGAAGCTACGTTGTCCCTAGTGCTGCAGTGAAGAGGTTAGGCTTTCCTTTGCCGCTCAACACAGGCTACGCAATTTCTGGTTACTTTTGGTTGTCATACTTGCGTCCTAGACGTGCGTATGAGCTCCGTGAAAATCTCGAAAAAATGAAGGAAAAACATAAACGTTTGGAGATGCAGTTAAACTACTTAGATCGACGACTGAAGTTGTTGCAGAAGGATTATCCTCCTAGTCAGGGCAGCGTTTAGCATATTCAAATACTCACTAAACAGTTAATATTTTAATATAGTGAATCACAGAATAGAACTAAAACGACACCTCAGCAAGAATTTTTTACTGAACTATAGTTTACATTGTGTAGGTTTAATGAAACATGTATCGTATCGCAATTACTTAAAGTAGTTTATTTTAAATGTTGTACATATAATTAGTTTTGGCACTACTTGCATTCGGCGTAGCATTCGTTTGGGAATACAGTTTCAACTTTTGTCAGATTTCATAGTAAATACACAATTTTGATGTAACTTCGGTCAAAAATTTAAATATATAGAGTGCACTCTACCAGCTTGTGCATTTATGGGGACATCACAAGGCTTCTTAAAAATGCAGCTAATAAAAACTTATCGCACCAGCAGCACCTATGTTCGTGATGATCAGTAATGGATGAATGTCCATGATATTCATGCTACCGTCGTGCAATTCCATAAAAATACTAGTGAAATCAACGCTCATTGAAGCTGCGTCACGAATGAGACGAAAGAGTCGGAGGAGTTGAAAAGTTGTAAAATAAGCTGTGTGCAAATTTATTGGTTTACTAATATTACTTGATAACAAAGGCAACGATAGCGCCTGTTTTGGTATTTGGCACAATAGAGATAGGTTATTGCCTCGTCAAAAGAACGAAGTGCATACATGTGGTTTTGCCTGATTTGTAGGTCTGAAAGGTCTGTTTGGCATACAATCGGTGAGCGCAAAGCAGTCTGGTCATATCTTATTGTTTCACCACAAAGACTCGCTTGCTCGTTGCTTGGTAACATATGCTAGGCAAGAGACAAATTATGACTACAAATGTAAGGATGCCAATTAAATGCTTGACAGTCCCAATTTTTCTTCCAATGCCTGAATTACTGCAAAGTCGGACCAAAAAAAACTTTGACAACATTAATTAGACGTAGTTATACAGCATATAGTAAAATAATTATGAGTATTAGCCGATTATCTCATTGGCTTAATGCCATTATCATTTGAGCAACCGTTGTTCGTTCTTGTTGACTAGTTTGCAAAATATCATGCAGTTTAAACATTGTGCCGTTACCTAGCAGCGCAAGGCAAGGTTTCTCTCTTGTTTTTTTTTTGGGACTTTCCCTACAAGTTGCTACAGGAAATAAAATGAAACGAAGATTTGACAACGCTGTTATCATGTTACACCTGTGCGATATAGGATATTGGTTGAGACCACAGATCTAATAATAGAGAGCTTAAGCAACGTTTTATTCGACAACGGCGTCGTGAGACATCGCGAAAGACTGGGACGGGCATGACGTTCCCGCGTATATTTAAAACAGTTAAGCAAAGTTCGTAATAGAAAGCGGCGGTAGAAAGTGAACTTATTTTCATGTCTTCGTTTAATACAATACGAAACTTTTGTCTCGTGCTTTTTGAAGAAGGTTACATTACCGAATATGAATTGATCATATTGTACAAGGCATATAAATCAAGGAACCCAGAGCTTCCATTCAAAAATTATGAGCTATTTTTTTTAGATAATCTAAGTGAGGATGAATGTAAAGTAGAATTCCGAGCCAACAAACACGATTTGATTTTCCTCCAACAAAATCTTAGAATCCCTGAAATAGTCAAGTGTCCACAAAGGACAACATGTTCAGGACTGGAGGGGCTATGCATTCTTTTAAATCGTCTTGCTTACCCTTGTCGATTTTCAGACATGATTGGCAGATTTGGGCGACCAGTTCCTGAGTTGTGTATGATTGCAAATACCATCATTGACTTTATAATTATCATAAGCGAAAAATTACAGAATGGAACCATGATCTTTTAAGCCCAGAAAATCTACAGGTTTATGCCAATGCCATCCATGAAAAAGGAGCACCTTATGAAAATTGCTTTGGCTTTATTGATGGAACGGTCAGACCAATTTCACGGCCAAAAACATCAGCGAATTGTTTACAATGGCCATAAAAGAGTTCACTCTTTGAAGTTCCAGGGTGTGGCATTGCCAAATGGTTTGATTGCACATATTTTGGTCCAGTTGGTATGCTTATATTATTTAAATGAAAATATTATTGTACACACTATATTGTACAAGCAAAACAGTCTATAACTCAGGCAAATACTTTCTATATTACAGAAGGAAAAAAACATGATGCTGGTATGCTGGCTGACTCAAACTTCCATCAAGACCTGGAACAAAATGCTTTTCCTGTGGATGGGAGACCATTATGCATATATGGGAATCCTGCTTATCCAAAGAGGATTCATCTACAAGCTCCTTCGGGCATGGGGTAATCACAGACAGAATGAAAGAATTCAACAAGCAAATGAGTTCAGTTAGAGTGTCTGTGGAATGGTTATTTGGAGATGTGATCAACTCATTCCGTTCATGGTCTTCAAAAACCTCAAAATAGGTCTAAGTAGTGTTGGGAAAGCATATATTGTCTGTGCATTGTTAAGAAATTCACTCACTTGCATGTATGGAAATATAACATCCAAGTTTTTTCAGTTAGATCCTCCAACCTTGGAGAATTACTTTATAACTAATTAATGAATGCCAAAATGACTCATTATTAAACACACAAACAATTAGCAAGTATGTAACTTGTTATGTAAGTACTGACAAATGTAAGTGAGAAAAGTATTATAATTCAAATAGCAAAACATTAAAAGTTCATAGTTACACAGATTGCTAAAACACAACAGTTAAGAATTCTTTCCTTGTAAGTGACAACACAATCTTACTTGGTTGTGAACCTCTGAATAATGTCAAGAAATGCTGTTGACAATTGCTGTTGTTGCTGAAGAAGTAAAGCTTGGCTCTCCATCATTTTTAGATTTTGTTGTTGCATCATTTTTAAGACTTCTGTTTGTTGTGTAGCTGCTGGGGTACTCAATTGATTTTGTATTTCTTGCTCATTTCGCTTTACTTCTAGTTCTGCACGACGGATTTCAATTTCCTTGCTTGATCTTTCTCTCAAATATTCGACTAACTCACAACTTCCGCGGCGTACTCTCTTAAGCTTAACATCAGAGTTTTGCCCATCAGATTTTCTCTTGCTTGTTTCGCCTATTCGTTCCAAGGCTGTCATCCTTATATCAATAGCATTTGCATTTTCCTTTTGCCTTTGAACTGATGCTACCTCAAGGAAGCTGTCCTCTGTTTGGCACAACTCTTTAATCAAACTTTCTTTCACCGACAGTTCGTCGACATCAATGCCACTTGCCCTTTCTTCTTTGCGCATCTTCTGCTTGAACTTAGCTTTTAAAAGACTCCACGGGTCTCGAACACTTCTCTTGTCTTTTAAAGTAAAGACTTGCGCTTCCGTTTTATTTAAGTTTTCGACAATAGAATCCCATACTAATCCCCGATTGGGGCTTCCCTTTTTGTATTAAAACAGATCACTAACCATCATTTCTCTCATCAACAATAAATCGTGCTCATCTGTCCACTCCATTTTCTTTGAATTGTCAGCCATATTCATTTTAGAGAGGTTTTAGAGGCAACCTTCAAGCAAGTATTTTCAGGTCGGCGCAGAGGCCCGACGGCGTAAACAAAATAGATACAACGCAGAACGGAAATAAAAACAACTTCCTCTTGCCGTTGCCGTCCAGCAAAACGTAGTTGCTTAAGCTCTCTAATACACTAGATAGAGCAACTGACATAAAAGTTGAAGCCGGGCAAATTTACTTCCGGAGCCCCAAAGTAGTGAGAATCAATATGGCGTTGTATTAGAAAATATGTGGTCCAAGTTAATATCTCGCAATTATTAGCAAATCGCGAAGGTTGCATCAACTTTTTTGCACTATTAATGAAAAAAATCAATGTGACCATAGTTTTTCAACAAAAAGATAGCAGAATACGCCAATACATCGCCGTAAAATTGATTTCAAGTGTAGCTCGATTTGAAAGCATCAGCAGCGACGAAGGCTTAAGATACTGAAATTTCCACATCTAAATATCATATCACAGCACAATCTGCGATAGTGTGGCTTAGTTCGTGTGGCAAATACAACGATATCATACTCGATCTATGGATGTATTGTGCTGATTGATGTACAACAAGCATAACGATGAGCGGTATGAAATCTTTTTCAATATATTATTCTGTTTGATTATACCGTCAAAATTACATTATACTTTGCGTTAAATATTTACACTGTTTCAAATAAAGATGTTAGCTAAACTGTACAAGTAACGCAACGTATAATATAATACATTACTGCTGTTGTAATACATAACTGCTGTTAAAAAGCAAGGTCGTTTCGTACGTCTGCAATACAAATATTTTTGTGTTCATTGACTGAAACATTATTGAATGGAATTAATTTTCTAAAGAGAATAATAACTTCCAAAAATTAGTTTTGTAGAAGTAAAAAATTCCAGCAGTCTTCGCTGCTTTAAAACTGATTTATAACTTTTTGATTAGTTAGATAAAAAGTATGCTTAGGTGGATTTTATGTAGCTATTAGATGTATTGAGTATTTCTTTAAACCAGTTAAATACATCTAATTATATATATACACAATTGATAGTTTAAATGTCATTGATGTTTAAATAATACCAACTTACTTAGTTTCTTCCTGACTTTGTTATTGTACAACTTCTCTGTATAACACTTCCCTAAGTGGTAAAATCGGATCTTGCTATAACATGTTGAGATGGCTTTAATGAGTTTGTGAGTATGGTTGTCAGTGACAGTTGTATCAAACATGTGTCATTTAGTTCCTCAAAAGAAGTTGCCATTTGTGCTACTTAAGACTGAAATAGCAATAGCATTAGGTAGGCTCTGCTTTGTGGTAGATGCCCATCTGTTGAAGACAGCATTCGCTGAAAATATTTTTCAGTTTCAATACATATGTCATGACACTTTTGTTGGTTTTATCAAACCACCTTTGTCTTTCAATGACAGGAAATCAGATTCTGCAGATTGTTGACTTGAACCAAGTGCTCCACAGCAAATAGAACAGGTAATTTTTCTTGTAATCATCTTCACAACAAAGCCTGCTATATATGATATAGCAGCAGTCTTAAATTCTGAGACAACAGGAATGTTGGGCATATTAGAGAAATTTTCTTCTTGTTGACTCAGAAACACCTTTTCCAGATCATATTTCCTAATGAGTGCAACATCATTTATATTTATCATTTTGTCAATTCCATTATCTGAATCAGTAATAATCTCAAGGATGTCTGTTTTATCTTGCTTTTTGCAGTTTCCATTTCTACCTTCAATGCTGCTTCGTAAAGTAATCTTTTATAGGCAGCTGTGAACTGTTGGGCTGTTGGGTTATTGTTAAATCCTCCTGCTGATCGAATTGCCCCAAAAAAAAGCTCTAAGTGATCTTGGCTGAACTTGTATGTAAGTATGTATTTCATTTATGCATTTTTTCTTTCAACTAGGTCAGAGAAAATTTGTTTGATGTTTGTTATTGCCACCAAGAGTCCCACAAATCCTGTCTTTCGGCGAGTGTTGTACAGCAGATTACCAGATACATCTCGCAGATTTATAATGTAGTTATAAGCTTCTGCTAAAAATGCCTCCCAAGTTTCTTTGTTGCTTTTTCGAAGAGCAGCCTTATAACCTTTGGCACACGGGTTTCGAGAGTTAAGAATGTCGAACAGATGATCTATGATGCGAATAAAGTAGACAGTGGCTTCTGATCCTTGAAATTGTGGAAGTTTAAGAGTGTTTGTGCAGTATTCTATTGCATCAGAAACACTGGAACTTAGTGTTTGGGCAGCCAAATTTACTTTCAAAAATGTTGAAAACAGTAGCATAACATCACCATAACAGTACATTAAGCACTGTGAGCAGTGGCCATATATACCACTGGTTTAGACTATGACAATACATTGCTTATATACATGTGTAAAACACAGTCAATACTACAAGTCTGGTGACTCTTCTTGATTTAATAAGTAAATATTTTGCTCGTGTTAGACAGAGTGTTATGTATCAACCTGTGTTATCAACAGTTTCACAAGTGACTTGCTATATTATACTTCACAAAAATTTGGTGTAACAGAGATAAACTCTTCACATTTTTTCTGTAAATAATTTCTGAACGTATTAATTACTCACATCTTGACATAGCATATTCGTTTGCCGACCAGAAACACAAGAAAAATGTATTTCTGGTACAATAATCCAGTGCAATATTCAATTATGTACAGTGAACAATATACTTTGTACAAATCGTGAAAAATCTTTCAAACTGTTATCTTCAACTCGTTTTACTTAACAATAAATATCGGAGGATAATTCCACGACGTTCGATTGATTATTTTGTGGCAGATTGTGCTGTGATATGATATTTAGATGTGGAAATTCCAGTATCTTAAGCCTTCGTCGCTGCTGATGCTTTCAAATCGAGCTACACTTGAAATCAATTTTACGGCGATGTATTGGCGTATTCTGCTATCTTTTTCTTGAAAAACTATGGTCACATTGATTTTTTTCATTAATAGAGTAAACCAGTTTATGTAACCGTCGTGACTTGCAAGTAATTGCAAGATATCAGCTTTGACCAGATATTTTCTAATACAACGCCATATTGATTCTCACTACTTTGGGGCTCCGGAAGTAAATTTGCCCGGCTTCAACCACTACTTATGAAATGTAAGCAGTTGCACTATCTAGTGTATTATTAGATCTGTGGTTGAGACTTTGAGAGAGCATTATCGAAGTGGTTCGCAAGGCTAGCAAACGAATACAGGTATGGCAAGATCCCCAATAAGATCTAAAGCATTAGACATTAGTCAACATCCAAAGGGACCAAGTCGATTACCTTTGGGGAAGAATGAAGGGCCTGTTGCTGTCGCAAACAGAAAACAAATTTTAGAAATCGCAAGACTTGTACAGTCGATGGGCGATTTTGAAATCGATGAACAAAAAACAACAGGAAATCAAGAAAACGAAAGACAACGTGAAATTGACAAAACATCAGCGCCTAACAAATTGTTGGAATAAAGTTGTGAAAACTGTCTGCTTGGTTGTGGACTGGTTGGAGCAACCATCGCATCAAAAGCATGCAACCGACCAAACCGATAGCATTGACTCAACAATGCGAGACACCGCGTCAAGTACACCAGATACTACCAATAAATCAGAGGACGAGATGGTGTTAAGAGGCTTGTACCATATCATAGGTAAGTATTAGTATTTTCTACTTGATAAACGGTTCCTTTGTTTTGTCAATATATCTATAAGAGTTTGTATTTTGGCAAGGATAGCTAAATAACAAAAAGCTGTGTTTGCTGCCGCCTATGAAATACATTAGAGAGATTTTATGAAAGGGGTAAGATAACAGGCTGGATCCGCCACTGCTTGAAAACTTTCATGTATTTCGTACGCAAAGTGAAAGGTAAACAAACAATAAAATAGCATAAATATATCGTACATAAAATTTAAAATAGTGGAGATTTTTCAGTCTAAAGAATCCTATGCTCTCGCAAAATCAGTTTTACCGATTAGTTGATATCATTATTGACAAATGGAGCCGTAGCTGTTTCGCAAACGTCGGTGTTTTTCACAAAAGGCTCGTTCTGTTGTTTATAGCTAAACAAAATTTTGACAAGCGACAACGACAACAAACTTACTCGCAGTTCCCTTTACACGGTCAAACTTCTTACCGTCGCAGTCGTACTTTGCTAAAGCTCTTTATTACTATATACAGAGCGGAAGACGTGGCACTTTCAAATCTATTAATTGTTCAATATGTTTATATTTGGTTATAGTTCTTGGCTCCCAAACTTTGACCATTAAGTTGCTAGGAGTCATATCGGATAACTTAGATATTCCGGGAAATCTGTATAGCGAAACGCGAATATGCTGAAGAATGTCTTCGCTTGGTGGAGGAAAATACTATCCAACTTTGATGTTATTGAAAAGGCGTCCGACCTTTTGGTGGAACTAACAAGAGATTTCGAACCTCACAAAGTTGACATATTTAACTCATACGTTGGTCGTGCTCAATTGGAGATACAGCTTTGTCGTGATTTTCTCGATGAGGCAAAACTGCCATTGACGAATTGATGGAAAAGTTAGCATAGTGAAATATGTGTCACGTGGCGTGCGTTTACTAGGATGGGGAGTCACGTGTTACTTTTGTATCGTATTACATCATCCACATCTAAACTCGAGGATCTTGCAAACTACGTTGTCCCTTTGAGGAGTGCTGCAGTAAAGAAATTAATCCTTCGGTTGCCTCTTCTGGCAGGCTACGATTTCTGGCTACTTGTGGTTGTCTAGTTTCCGCCCAAAACGTGCTTATGAGCTCCGAGAAAATCTTGAAAAGATGCAATACAAGCATAGTTTTTTTATGATGCAGTTAAAGTACTTAGACAGACGACTGGAATTGTTGCAGAATGATTTTTCTCGTCGGGATAGCGTTTAGCACATTTAATAAATACTTTATGAATACTTTCGAGTAAATTGAAAACGAGCTAACTGACAACGTGTAGTTAGAAATCCCACCTCACTGAGATATTGCTAGTCAATTCGTGTAACTGTACAAGCATTCAATATGAATAATATTTGAAACTGATGATGAAACAGGTGTGAAATTTCTGAAAACTGAATCAAAATGAAGATCCAAAGTGAAGTTCTGTAAAGGGTTGAGTTTTGATAAGTTGAGTTTAGGCTAATTCTCACATAGTCGTCCGTTGTTTGAATCGTCTCAACTAATTTTCATTCATCTGAATAGAACTCCGTCCTATCGGCTTGCGTTCTAGAGATGACTCAGACATGACTCGAGTCTCGGACGATATATCAAAACCCTTGGACATATCAACATTGTAGAGTTTTTAATTTGTAATTTGTATTACTGCATGAAGGTAATATCGTTTATCTGAGTTTAACTGTCACACCTGACGATAGAGAATACAATTGATTTACACGACTTAGCAGGGAAATGTCTAAACAACGAATTACTACCAAAGCGCAATAATTTCTTTTAGAGCTTCGTGGTTTAACCAATTTTCTGTAGCAAAACAATCACTGTTTCTTTTAGAATTCAAGATAAAATTTGGAATCAGTACTGAGAAGACAGAACGCAACGCAAATATCATTATGAAATATTGTAACTTTCATTTTTCTTGTTATGTCATGATTGAATGCGCAACGATTGACAGCAGCTGGAATGCATATTATCGATTCACCACTTTACGGCAGCGTGCACGTACTTTATGACGTCATGTCACATGTACGTGTACTGATGACGACAATAATGTAAGACAAAACAATTTTATATGCAAAATTTTCAAAAATTAAGTGTGTCAAGATGGCGCATTTGGCTATGTCAATACTTCCCATACCACGAATGTGCGTTCAAATCCCATCAAGGCTCACGTGCAGGTTGAAGGTTGCGGGTGCGGGTTGATGCGACAGATAGACCGTAATACTTAGTAAATATAATTGTAATAATAAAAATTGCAAAAATTAAAAAAAATGGTAATATATATATGAAATACTCAGTCAGAATAAAAGTCAGAAAAAATTTAAATCAGAAAGAAAAAATTTAAATCAGAAAGAAAAAATTTAAGTCAGAAAGAAAAAATTTAAGTCAGAAAGAAAAAATTTAAATCAGAAAGAAAAAAAATTAAAGAAGTACTTAGTGTAAATATGATTGTAATAATAAAAATTGCAAAAATTAAAAAAAATGGTAATATATATATGAAATACTCAGTCAGAATAAAAGTGAGAAAAAATTGAAATCAGAAAGAAAAAATTGAAATCAGAAAGAAAAAATTTATATCAGAAAGAAAAAATTTATATCAGAAAGAAAAAATTTATATCAGAAAGAAAAAATTTAAATAAGAAAGAAAAAATTTAAATCAGAAATAAAAGTCAGAAAAAATTTAAATCAGAAAGAAAAAATTTAAATCAGAAAGAAAAAAGTGAAATCAGAAAGAAAAAACTGAAATCAGAAAGAAAAAATTGAAATCAGAAAGAAAAAATGACTTTAATACACATTTAAACACATACCTATAAATATCAAAACCTGTCCGAATCAAAATCATTCGCAAGTACACTTGAACAGAATACATGAAAATGACGTATCTTAAAAATTGTTGGAAAAAATTTATTCACATCTTTGCTTATGTTTGGGATTGCTTGGAAAAACCCAAACACACATCAAATAAATTATTGAAGCAAATTGGTATAATGGAAAATATGCCGAATCTGAAAATTGTGGAAGACACGTTTGACTTCCCAGAGACTCTCCATAGACCAAAATTCGAACATATTGAAGAGTGCTTTCGTATGATTGAGGTGAAATATGAAAGGACTTCAGAGCTTATTGAAAAGAGGAAATAAAACATTGCGAAAACACAATAATGCTGTATGGTCGTGCTCAACTGGAAATTAATCTTTGTAATGACTATCTATCACAGGCAAAAATCATCATTGACGAACTGGAGGGAATTGCTGGCACAATAAAATTTGTCACACGAAGCGTTCGTTTACTTGGATGGGGGATAGCTTGCTATGTTATATTTCGATGACATCCTCTGAAGGCAAACTTGTGGATCTTGAAACTTTTGTACCTTCTTTAGTATTTTCTATAATGAAGCAGCTCGCATTCCCATACTCGTTCGTGGTAGGTTGCATATCTTCCTGCTACATGTGTTTGGCACGTCCCTTTCCCAGTGGAGCTTATAATTTGCGAATAAATCTTGAGAAATATAAATTGAAGTATGGAATTTTATCAATCAAATTGAACAACTTACAAACAACGATTACGGTGTTGTTCTAGAGAGAACTAAGTCTAATGACACGACAGCGTTCACCGACCTTGTTTCTTATAATTCTTTGATTCTTTTGGTGTTTTAGTGTTGTAGAGGTATATCAAGACAGACTTAAAATAATATTTACATTCTAATTCAGTAATCGTATTGACAGTATTTGCCGAAGTATTTAATTCATCAATGTTGCACACATGTATTTTATGTATTGCACTTATATATAAAGATGTGCATATATATCTATTCAAAAATTATGTTACATTAGTTTATAAGAAGTTAATAAAATTGCTATTATTATTTTGTATTTTTATTTGTGAAAAATCTACAAATAGCTTTAGATATATAGAAGCTATCAAACACGCTTTAACCAGCAATCAAGTACTTTTTATAACACTGCAGTACAACAAATAGTAGGTAATTAGCATTTTGAAATTGTTGAAATAAGAGCGACCAAACGGAAGCTGTATAGGTTTCATGCTAGACTACTATCATAGCTTTTATCATAAGGTACAAGTGTAGAAAAAAAGCAATACAGCATATATTATTTCAAGAAAATGGCTTTTTTAAACTTTTATAAAAATTTGATTTACTGAATGGGCAATCTACTTGCAACATACAAAGAGAATTGATGGTAAATAGTGAAAACATAATACTTTGCTGAGCTCACCATACACAATGCCTTTGACTGCATTTTTCTCCTCAGACCACTCTCTTATAGTATTCAAGCTTTGGGAGTTATGCTGCTACTCGACGTTTCTTCATGCATTTTTGTTATTGTCAACTTTAAAACGCTCAACGATAGATTTATGGGATGGGCAGAAAGATAAAACAACACGCCAGAGGGAAGCTTCATAGAGTACAACTATAGTTTGAAGCCTTTTTCATCAGCGATCTATATTTCTAATCTTTACTCTTGCTCGCCCCCATCGTGCCACTCGACACCCCTGCCATGTTTATTTTTTCAGCGAGCTTATAAATATAGCTTGTGCCGCCATTATAATTTATAAATTGCATTCTATACAAATTTATCCCCACTTTAGCCTGCCTTAGGACGTTGATCAAGAAACCTTCTCGCCTTCATAGTAGACAATTCAATATGAGCTTGTTGCTCTTTGACATGTTCCACACACTTCATTATGTACTTAGGTTGGGCTAGAAACGAATCTAAAAGTTTAAAAAACTCATTATGCTACCTCGACTGCTATAAAGATAAGCTCTGGTTCTAGAGCTTGGTCAGTTCTTTTTGACGCGTTGAGGATTTACATTTTTCAGAAGATACATGAACAAATAGTCACATCACAAATAATGGTGAAAATAGGCTCAACGTCTATATGGATTTTAACTGTAAGGGAAATACAAAGAGCAGACTTTCCAAGGAATGTTTAATTTTTTGTAAGCAACTTAGCATGCATGTAACTCGATGGTCTAGTCAGCAAATATAAAATACTTAAAAATTGCAAATGATGATGTTCATACAAAGTTAATTTATTGTTTGTTTTTGTCGACTCATGTTACGTTATCAGCGAGTACAATATCCACGAATGAGATTTCATGAAAATTAAAAATCATAACACAACAAACGAATTGAAAAAACAACACAAATTTAAGAAGCTTTGTTTGAATACATTCATTTTACTCTTATGGCAACCATACAGAAATATCAAACAATTGGAGCACAAATTGTGAACACAGAACTGGAATAAATATTGAGAGGACAGTTAATTTTACAGGTGTAAATTTATCAGTAAAATAAAACAACCTATTTAATTTAAAAACTTTAAGCAAACTATTCAACTATGTATAGAGTTTGCCAACTACTCATTAAATATAAAACCAATTAAGGTCAGAATGGCTAAAACTAAGAAGACTGATGGACAAATGAATGACAAGCTGATGAACAGCTTAGGCATTAATAGAAAAAGTTGCATACAATTTGTTTCATTTATTATACAGAGATCGGGAACAATGGAAAAAGTCAAATCATTTCTGACTGGCGACAAAAATCGGAGCTTTTTCTAAACATTTTTCAATGAAAGCACTTATAAGTTATTACATAATTGCTCAAACTTTGTAAAATGTTGCTTTGCTG